GTGGGGGTGTGGAGCCTCCAGGTCACCTCAGGTCGCTATGGGAGCCTGTGAGTGGGGGTGTGGAGCCTCCAGGTCACCTCAGGTCGCTATGGGAGCCTGTGAGTGTGGGGGTGTGGAGCCTCCAGGTCACCTCTGGTCGCTATGGGAGCCTGTGAGTGTGGGGGTGTGGAGCCTCCAGGTCACCTCAGGTCGCTATGGGAGCCTGTGAGTGTGGGGGTGTGGAGCCTCCAGGTCACCTCTGGTCGCTATGGGAGCCTGTGAGTGTGGGGGTGTGGAGCCTCCAGGTCACCTCTGGTCGCTATGGGAGCCTGTGAGTGTGGGGGTGTGGAGCCTCCAGGTCACCTCAGGTCGCTATGGGAGCCTGTGAGTGGGGGTGTGGAGCCTCCAGGTCACCTCAGGTCGCTATGGGAGCCTGTGAGTGGGGGTGTGGAGCCTCCAGGTCACCTCAGGTCGCTATGGGAGCCTGTGAGTGGGGGTGTGGAGCCTCCAGGTCACCTCAGGTCGCTATGGGAGCCTGTGAGTGTGGGTGTGGAGCCTCCAGGTCACCTCAGGTCGCTATGGGAGCCTGTGAGTGTGGGGGTGTGGAGCCTCCAGGTCACCTCAGGTCGCTATGGGAGCCTGTGAGTGTGGGTGTGGAGCCTCCAGGTCACCTCAGGTCGCTATGGGAGCCTGTGAGTGTGGGGGTGTGGAGCCTCCAGGTCACCTCTGGTCGCTATGGGAGCCTGTGAGTGTGAGGGTGTGGAGCCTCCAGGTCACCTCAGGTCGCTATGGGAGCCTGTGAGTGTGGGGTGTGGAGCCTCCAGGTCACCTCAGGTCGCTATGGGAGCCTGTGAGTGTGGGGGTGTGGAGCCTCCAGGTCACCTCAGGTCGCTATGGGAGCCTGTGAGTGTGGGGGTGTGGAGCCTCCAGGTCACCTCAGGTCGCTATGGGAGCCTGTGAGTGTGGGGGTGTGGAGCCTCCAGGTCACCTCAGGTCGCTATGGGAGCCTGTGAGTGGGGGTGTGGAGCCTCCAGGTCACCTCAGGTCGCTATGGGAGCCTGTGAGTGTGGGGTGTGGAGCCTCCAGGTCACCTCAGGTCGCTATGGGAGCCTGTGAGTGTGGGGGTGTGGAGCCTCCAGGTCACCTCAGGTCGCTATGGGAGCCTGTGAGTGTGGGGTGTGGAGCCTCCAGGTCACCTCAGGTCGCTATGGGAGCCTGTGAGTGTGGGGTGTGGAGCCTCCAGGTCACCTCAGGTCGCTATGGGAGCCTGTGAGTGTGGGGGTGTGGAGCCTCCAGGTCACCTCAGGTCGCTATGGGAGCCTGTGAGTGTGGGGGTGTGGAGCCTCCAGGTCACCTCTGGTCGCTATGGGAGCCTGTGAGTGTGGGGTGTGGAGCCTCCAGGTCACCTCTGGTCGCTATGGGAGCCTGTGAGTGTGGGGGTGTGGAGCCTCCAGGTCACCTCAGGTCGCTATGGGAGCCTGTGAGTGTGGGGGTGTGGAGCCTCCAGGTCACCTCTGGTCGCTATGGGAGCCTGTGAGTGTGGGGTGTGGAGCCTCCAGGTCACCTCAGGTCGCTATGGGAGCCTGTGAGTGTGGGGGTGTGGAGCCTCCAGGTCACCTCAGGTCGCTATGGGAGCCTGTGAGTGTGGGGTGTGGAGCCTCCAGGTCACCTCAGGTCGCTATGGGAGCCTGTGAGTGTGGGGTGTGGAGCCTCCAGGTCACCTCAGGTCGCTATGGGAGCCTGTGAGTGTGGGGGTGTGGAGCCTCCAGGTCACCTCAGGTCGCTATGGGAGCCTGTGAGTGTGGGGTGTGGAGCCTCCAGGTCACCTCAGGTCGCTATGGGAGCCTGTGAGTGTGGGGTGTGGAGCCTCCAGGTCACCTCAGGTCGCTATGGGAGCCTGTGAGTGTGGGGGTGTGGAGCCTCCAGGTCACCTCAGGTCGCTATGGGAGCCTGTGAGTGTGGGGTGTGGAGCCTCCAGGTCACCTCAGGTCGCTATGGGAGCCTGTGAGTGTGGGGTGTGGAGCCTCCAGGTCACCTCAGGTCGCTATGGGAGCCTGTGAGTGTGGGGGTGTGGAGCCTCCAGGTCACCTCTGGTCGCTATGGGAGCCTGTGAGTGTGGGGTGTGGAGCCTCCAGGTCACCTCAGGTCGCTATGGGAGCCTGTGAGTGTGGGGTGTGGAGCCTCCAGGTCACCTCAGGTCGCTATGGGAGCCTGTGAGTGTGGGGTGTGGAGCCTCCAGGTCACCTCAGGTCGCTATGGGAGCCTGTGAGTGTGGGGGTGTGGAGCCTCCAGGTCACCTCAGGTCGCTATGGGAGCCTGTGAGTGTGGGGTGTGGAGCCTCCAGGTCACCTCAGGTCGCTATGGGAGCCTGTGAGTGTGGGGTGTGGAGCCTCCAGGTCACCTCAGGTCGCTATGGGAGCCTGTGAGTGTGGGGTGTGGAGCCTCCAGGTCACCTCAGGTCGCTATGGGAGCCTGTGAGTGTGGGGGTGTGGAGCCTCCAGGTCACCTCAGGTCGCTATGGGAGCCTGTGAGTGTGGGGTGTGGAGCCTCCAGGTCACCTCAGGTCGCTATGGGAGCCTGTGAGTGTGGGGTGTGGAGCCTCCAGGTCACCTCAGGTCGCTATGGGAGCCTGTGAGTGTGGGGGTGTGGAGCCTCCAGGTCACCTCAGGTCGCTATGGGAGCCTGTGAGTGTGGGGTGTGGAGCCTCCAGGTCACCTCAGGTCGCTATGGGAGCCTGTGAGTGTGGGGTGTGGAGCCTCCAGGTCACCTCAGGTCGCTATGGGAGCCTGTGAGTGTGGGGGTGTGGAGCCTCCAGGTCACCTCTGGTCGCTATGGGAGCCTGTGAGTGTGGGGTGTGGAGCCTCCAGGTCACCTCAGGTCGCTATGGGAGCCTGTGAGTGTGGGGTGTGGAGCCTCCAGGTCACCTCTGGTCGCTATGGGAGCCTGTGAGTGTGGGGTGTGGAGCCTCCAGGTCACCTCAGGTCGCTATGGGAGCCTGTGAGTGTGGGGGTGTGGAGCCTCCAGGTCACCTCAGGTCGCTATGGGAGCCTGTGAGTGTGGGGGTGTGGAGCCTCCAGGTCACCTCAGGTCGCTATGGGAGCCTGTGAGTGTGGGGGTGTGGAGCCTCCAGGTCACCTCAGGTCGCTATGGGAGCCTGTGAGTGTGGGGGTGTGGAGCCTCCAGGTCACCTCAGGTCGCTATGGGAGCCTGTGAGTGTGGGGTGTGGAGCCTCCAGGTCACCTCTGGTCGCTATGGGAGCCTGTGAGTGTGGGGTGTGGAGCCTCCAGGTCACCTCTGGTCGCTATGGGAGCCTGTGAGTGTGGGGGTGTGGAGCCTCCAGGTCACCTCTGGTCGCTATGGGAGCCTGTGAGTGTGGGGGTGTGGAGCCTCCAGGTCACCTCAGGTCGCTATGGGAGCCTGTGAGTGTGGGGGTGTGGAGCCTCCAGGTCACCTCAGGTCGCTATGGGAGCCTGTGAGTGTGGGGGTGTGGAGCCTCCAGGTCACCTCTGGTCGCTATGGGAGCCTGTGAGTGTGGGGGTGTGGAGCCTCCAGGTCACCTCAGGTCGCTATGGGAGCCTGTGAGTGTGGGGTGTGGAGCCTCCAGGTCACCTCAGGTCGCTATGGGAGCCTGTGAGTGTGGGGGTGTGGAGCCTCCAGGTCACCTCAGGTCGCTATGGGAGCCTGTGAGTGTGGGGTGTGGAGCCTCCAGGTCACCTCAGGTCGCTATGGGAGCCTGTGAGTGTGGGGGTGTGGAGCCTCCAGGTCACCTCAGGTCGCTATGGGAGCCTGTGAGTGTGGGGGTGTGGAGCCTCCAGGTCACCTCAGGTCGCTATGGGAGCCTGTGAGTGGGGTGTGGAGCCTCCAGGTCACCTCTGGTCGCTATGGGAGCCTGTGAGTGTGGGGGTGTGGAGCCTCCAGGTCACCTCTGGTCGCTATGGGAGCCTGTGAGTGTGGGGTGTGGAGCCTCCAGGTCACCTCAGGTCGCGATGGGAGCCTGTGAGTGTGGGGATGTGGAGCCTCCAGGTCACCTCAGGTCGCTATGGGAGCCTGTGAGTGTGGGGGTGTGGAGCCTCAAGGTCACCTCTGGTCGCTATAGGAGCCTGTGAGTGTGGGGGTGTGGAGCCTCCAGGTCACCTCTGGTCGCTATGGGAGCCTGTGAGTGTGGGGTGTGAAGCCTCCAGGTCACCTCAGGTCGCTATGGGAGCCTGTGAGTGTGGGGGTGTGGAGCCTCCAGGACACCTCTGGTCGCTATGGGAGCCTGTGAGTGTGGGGGTGTGGAGCCTCCAGGTCACCTCTGGTCGCTATGGGAGCCTGTGAGGGTGGGGGTGTGGAGCCTCCAGGTCACCTCTGGTCGCTATGGGAGCCTGTGAGTGTGGGGTGTGGAGCCTCCAGGTCACCTCAGGTCGCTATGGGAGCCTGTGAGTGTGGGGATGTGGAGCCTCCAGGTCACCTCAGGTCGCTATGGGAGCCTGTGAGTGTGGGGGTGTGGAGCCTCAAGGTCACCTCTGGTCGCTATAGGAGCCTGTGAGTGTGGGGGTGTGGAGCCTCCAGGTCACCTCTGGTCGCTATGGGAGCCTGTGAGTGTGGGGTGTGAAGCCTCCAGGTCACCTCAGGTCGCTATGGGAGCCTGTGAGTGTGGGGGTGTGGAGCCTCCAGGTCACCTCTGGTCGCTATGGGAGCCTGTGAGTGTGGGGGTGTGGAGCCTCCAGGTCACCTCTGGTCGCTATGGGAGCCTGTGAGTGTGGGGGTGTGGAGCCTCCAGGTCACCTCTGGTCGCTATGGGAGCCTGTGAGTGTGGGGGTGTGGAGCCTCCAGGTCACCTCTGGTCGCTATGGGAGCCTGTGAGTGTGGGGGTGTGGAGCCTCCAGGTCACCTCTGGTCGCTATGGGAGCCTGTGAGTGTGGGGGGTGTGGAGCCTCCAGGTCACCTCTGGTCGCTATGGGAGCCTGTGAGTAGTGATATCTGAAGCTCCAGAGAAACTCTTTGAAGTAAGTCCCAGGAGATTTGGACGAGGTTTCTACTGAGATGTAAGGCTCTGTGTGGGGCGGGTGCTGGGGTGGGGGCTTCGTCAGGGGCGGGTGCTGGGGTGGAGGCTCCGTCAGGGGCGGGTGCTGGGGTGGAGGCTCCGTCAGGGGCGGGTGCTGGGGTGGGGGCTCCGTCAGGGGCGGGTGCTGGGGTGGAGGCTCCGTCAGGGGCGGGTGCTGGGGTGGAGGCTCCGTCAGGGGCGGGTGCTGGGGTGGAGGCTCCGTCAGGGGCGGGTACTGGGGGGGGAGAAACATATTAGGCGTGAAGGGTAGCTGGAAGTGTTCTTGCCGTGGTTGTGCTGCTGATGATGACACTTGCAGCAGCTCCTCTGCAGTCCTGGTGCGGGGAGGTGTCTTTTGACCCGTATATATTAGTCTGCTCCCACCTCCGGGAGGGACAGTGTCCGCCGGCCTCCACACTGTCATCTGAGCCACTCCTCCGCCCGCCTGTTCCTATATTGAATGTGTTTCAGTTATGCCAAACTGGTGGCTCTTAAGTCAACAGCGTCGTTCAATGGAGGGAGCGGCGCCGTTTATGGGGAGGTGCGGCCCGCTGGCTTCCTGTCCCTCGGCTCATTACCTGAGCCCCCCCCTCCCCCTACACCCCCAACCCACACTTTACTCATACTTCTTTAAAACCACAATATATCAACTGGCAGCAATGCGGAAATTATATTCTGGTAACATATCGCATGAGGAGTATTTTTCTCTGCCAGAAATATCTGCCCATAATATGCACTCACACTAAAAATGAAATCACAGTCACCTTATGTAGGTAACTCACCGCTTGGGGCCCCGACGATAGCTCTGTAGCAGGGGCGCCGGAGCCCAACCAGAGCTCCTTCACCTTCTCACTCTAGGTCTCCATCTCGACTCTTCTCAGGACGCCTGAGGCTCCACCACCATCGTCCTCAGTTATAACATTAAGAGAGTGGAAGAGGGAACAGATTATACTAATGACAACTTGACTGAGGTTCTCAAACAGCGTCCAGCCATCTTGCGGCTGGCCGATGGAGGGGTCCAGAGGACATTATGCCTACAAGACGAGTTGACAGTGAAAGTCTGTCTAGGATAATTGGTATCAATTGGCAACATATTTTGACAGAAATATCTGGACTGAAAAGAGAACGCTACTTATACCGGCCGCCGGCAGGAAATTTTCCTTCACAGGATGGTGTCGCGGCTGGGAATGGTTGAGCGTATTATTATTATTAATATCTTTGTTGACAAAAATTAATTACAATTTTGCCTAATCTGAGGAATTCAATTAAGTCTTATTAGAGTGAGGATAATGCTGGTATTGACTGTCACACTGGACAGAGGATCATACACAAGACAATAGGTCTAAATTAGAGGCTGAAGCACATATATACCATGGTTACCATCAATATTTCATGACCTAGGCCTCCAGCACAGGCAAAATTGGTGCAGTAACTTGTAGTGAAGGGTCCACGGTGTTTATCATCCAACCCTTTCTTGTCTGCCGGCACTCTCCCCGACCACCTGGTTGAGTAATTAGCGAGCACTTAGTTATGGAAACAGTACAAACGTGACACATCTACAGTAAATATTTCCTCAGACGACGAATTTTCTAACATTAGTAACAAAAAGCGTCGCCCTGGGGAACGGAAGGGAACTATCAGGAGAAAGCGCCAAGCCATTACGACTATATAGCACTGGGAAGGGGTCAGGATAAGGATTTGGGATGGGACGGAGGGAAAGGAATGGTTCCCAACCACTTGAACGGGTTTTGACAACTGCCAATCGCTGGCAATTGTCAAAACCCCGCATCACAACTGTCAGTGATTCGTGCTTAGGCAGCCGGTCGGCCGAGCGGACAGCACGCTGGACTTGTGAAACTGTGGTCCTGGGTTCGATCCCAGGCGCCGGCGAGAAACAATGGGCAGAGTTTCTTTCACCCTATGCCCCTGTTACCTAGCAGTAAAATAGATACCTGGGTGTTAGTCAGCTGTCACGGGCTGCTTCCTGGGGGTGGAGGCCTTGTCGTGGACCGGGCCGCGGGGACACTAAAAGCCCCGAAATCATCTCAAGATAACCTCAACATAACCACTTCTGTTCGTGGAGCCTCACCCCTTATTGCTCAGCCTTCCGCAGCACCGCCTCTCGTGACCACACTCGTGCAAGGCCGCCTCGGAACTAACACTGACGCCTATGGAGGTACACTGTAACACACGACACAGTAAAATATATCACCCAAAAAGTGTAATCCCAGGCCTGTTGCTCAGCACAAAGGGAATCCTCGGCGCCCAGGACGCGACGCACGAGTAGCCCCTCTTGCCTTACAAGACTTAGAGACTCCATAATGGTCAGGAGCCTGACGAGGCTCAGGCGGGAGTCTCCACAGTGGTCAGGAGCCTGACGAGGCTCAAGCGGGAGTCTCCACAGTGGTCAGGAGCCTGACGAGGCTCAGGCGGCACCAGTACCGGGCCACAAAGCTACAAGGCGGGCTGTTTGGTCGACCAGGCCTCCTGGTTGGCTGTCTGATCGACCAGGCCTCCTGGTTGGCTGTCTGATCGACCAGGCCTCCTGGTTGGCTGTCTGGTCGACCAGGCCTCCTGGTTGGCTGTCTGATCGACCAGGCCTCCTGGTTGGCTGTCTGGTCGACCAGGCCTCCTGGTTGGCTGTCTGGTCGACCAGGCCTCCTGGTTGGCTGTCTGGTCGACCAGGCCTCCTGGTTGGCTGTCTGGTCGACCAGGCCTCCTGGTTGGCTGTCTGGTCGATCAGGCCTCCTGGTTGGCTGTCTGGTCGACCAGGGCTCCTTGTTGACTGTCTGGTCGATCAGGCCTCCTGGTTGGCTGTCTAGTCGACCAGGCCTCCTGGTTGACAGTCTGGTCAACCAGGCTGTTAGACGCAGCTGCTCGCAACCTGACGCAGGAATCATATCCTGGGTTGATTAGGTATCCTTATTAAGTTCTCTTTTGAAGAGCGTGAGAGATCGACTAGTTACCCCCGTTGTGTGTAGAGGGACCGTGGAGAGGACTTGGCGCCTTGATGCTGACACAACAACACGGTGGATCAGCTGTGGAAGCGTTGAATACAGCAGGTGACGTCATGCGAGAGATCACGCCCCATGTGCAACTCATCGTACAATAACTAAAACAATGCAATTATACACAAACAATGAATACGTGATTTTGCTCAACAAAAATCATTCATTACCTCGGCTTGTTATTCTATATTTGGTAACGCAAGTCCCGCATTCATTAACACCTGTTCATTATTACCTGTTCAGGGAGGGGAGGGGAGGGTCTTAGTCTTTCGTGACGTCATGGCAACATTATTGGAACTCATCACGTCGAACCTCAGAAACCAGGTCCAAGATCTCAGTGTTGTAAACACACGTAAATACTCGCGTTTAGGTCCCACATTTACAGTCAAAGTTTATGGTTTCTTATTATGTGTTGTGGTCTCAACATCCACATACACGACTAGCTGTGCCCTCAACAGTCACACATGACTAGCTGTGCCCTCAACAGTCACACACACGACTAGCAGTGCCCTCAACAGCTACAGACATGACTAGCAGTGCCCTCAACAGTCACACACGACCAGCAGTGCCAAACGTGTGGGGAATCATTTAACCTAATTACCTGGAGGTCTGGTGGATCCAACAACTTCATTTACTGACCAACACAAACACTCCCTCACTACCATCTTCACCTGTCTTGTTCTGCCTGGCTCTGTCCTCCGTCTCTGCCTCCCTGAAGCTCTGTCTGTCCCTCTCTCCATCCCTGCTACACTGTCACTCTTGACTGGAGGACACTACACTGTCACTCTTGACTGTCTGTCTGTCTGTCTGTCTCTCTCTCTCTCTCTCTCTCTCTCTCTCTCTCTCTCTCTCTCTCTCTCTCTCTCTCTCTCTCTCTCTCTCTCTCTCTCTCTCTCTCTCTCTCTCTCTCTCTCTCTCTCTCTCTCTCTCTCTCTCTCTCTCTCTCTCTCTCTGTAAATCCAACACACAAAATCTATTATTCGAAATACGTCCTAAAATGGGCAAATGATCGCTAATTAATGCAGCCACCACACTCAACTGGCTGACTGTGACAGCTACAGCTGACGCCTGACGATAATGGCCGTCAGCTGTAGTTGACGCTGACGACTGATACTGGCGGCTGACGCTGTCGACTGATACTGGCGGCTGACGCTGACAAGTTTTGAAAAAATTGTAACTATTCGACCCCATTCCCCAGACAATCCCAATCCCCAGACGACCCCAATTCCAAGACGTTCACAATCCCCAGGCGATTCCAATCCCCAGACGATTCCAATCCCCAGATGATCCCAATCCCAAGACAATCCCAGTCCGCAGACGACTCTAGTCCTCAGACGACCCCAGTCCTCATACGACCCCAATCCCCAGACGGCCCCAATCCTCACGCGACTCCAATCCAAGCTACAGGTCAACCCAACCCCCAGACGACCCCAAGCTACAGAGAACACACACACACACACACACACAAACACACACACAAACACACACACACACACACGCACACAACCATAAGGAAGTATTCAAACCACTTAACAAAATCTCCCAGGAAGTTTTTAAGCTGGAATCAGATCGAGCAGTAAAGCCAAGGGACCCATCATCAGACTCCTGTATTGGCAAGTGTCACGGAACTGGCAGAGACGCCGGAGGAAGTCAAGGAACAGCTCAAGACACTGGATGTGATACAAGCCGAAGGTCTTGACATATCACCGTAACTACTGAAGGAGGGAGCGGGAGCAGGGTACAGCCCCGTGCTCTAGTATGTAACTTCTCTCTGGAAATACAGAACTTCCAGGCTGCTGGAACTGTAATAATGTTGTGGGAGTATACATGAGAAAGGGAGGACAAGAAGCACTGAATTACAAACTATAATTACTAAAAAAGTATCGCTTGTAAGTTACCAACAAGACTGAACACTTGCATGTTCGTTAATCTCACACACACACAGGAAGGATTACGACAGAGAAGGACAGCAAGAGGCTACAGGATGACCTGGGCAAACTGAAGGAATGGTCCAACAAATGGCTGCTAGAGTTTAACTCGAGCAAGTGCAAGGTGAGGAACATAGGTGTAGGGAGCAGGAGACTAAACACAAGCTATCAGCTGGGAGAGGAAATTAATCCTTCATGAGTCAGGACGAGAGAAAGATCTGGGGGTTGATATCACATCAGACCTGTCCCCTGAAGCCCAATTCAAAAGGATATCATCAGCGGCGTATGCAAGTTTGGTGAACCTAAGAACTACCTTCAGGGACTTGTGTAAGGAATCATTCAGAACCTTGTATACCACATATGTCAGACCAATACTGGAATATGCGGCTCCAGCGTGGAGTCCACATCAAGTCAAACACAAAACAAACTTGAAAAGGTTCAGAGGTATGCTACCAGGCTGGTCCCCGAGCTGAGAGGAATGAGCTATGAGGAAAGAATAATGGAACTGAATCTTAGGGAAGACATGATCACTACCTACAAAATTCTCAGAGGAATTGACCGAGTAGATAAAGATAAACTATTTAACACGGGTGGAACGCGAACAAGGAGACACAGGCAGAAACTGAGTACCCAAATGAGCCACAGGGACGTTACAAAGAACTTTTTCAGTGTCAGAGTAGTTAACAGGTGGAATGCATTAGGCAGTGATGTGGTGGAGGCTGACTCCATACACAGTTTCAAGTGTAGATATGATAGAGCCCAGTAGGCTCAGGAACCTGTACACCTGTTGATTGACAGTTGAGAGGCGGGACCAAAGAGCCAGAGCTCAACCCCCGCAAGCACAACTAGGTGAGTACATATCTCCCAGTTCACCCCCCCCCCTCACTACCGTCCAGGACCCCCCCCCCCCCAGCACGTCGGTAAAGTAACTCCCAACATATTGATTCGTGGTCCCACGTACATCTTTATGACGTCACCGTCACGTCACTCTAAGAATGCTCAAACACGTTGAATAACCCGATTGTTGTGGGGAGGGTCTGGCACATTGTGGAGACTTTTTTTTTCCAGGGATATTCTTGCGCGGGCCCTGAGCCTCTGGCTGGCCCACTAAGTGTTGCTTGTTTCTGTTTTACTTGGGCGGAGTATGAGTATTTATG